CCGCGGCGGGGGGGGGGGGGGGGGGGGGGGACAATGTACTACGTTGGAATATTGATGGTGATGTGACTAGTTTCAGCCACTTTCCTATATAAAAGGAAGAGTAGTGGATGAAAAATTGGGAAATTTTGAACAATAGCAATGATCCAGCATTATAACACTTCATTTGCTCCCCGGGGCACATCCAAGTTGGCAGAACAATCACATTGGGGGGCTCTGGAACCAAGCGTGGGGAGTTCGATTCCTGGAAGGCACAACTTGGAAGGCAAGATTTATCTTGGAAGGCAAGTTGCTGTAAGGCAGTGAAGAGGCTCCCTTTGGGGAAGGAGTAAAAGTCATGTGGGAACTTGGGAACCAACAAGGGCACATCCCGCGATTTACCTTCCTGAGCTGCTGAGGGACCGGAGGTTCAGGGACGAGGATATAGTCTGGCGCAAGTTGGGATACCTCGTTAAAAAAAAAAAAAAACCACTTCATTTACTTCGAATCAATAAAAATTGATTACAAAGCGAACCATCATTTTTTGACATCAACAACCTCATTAAAGTCAAAAACCTGAAAACATAAAAAAAAATCTACAAAATAAGTGTGTTAGTGAGTTCGATTACCCAAGATAGGATGTTTGTTCAACTAATTTATCATAGTCTTCTCCAAACATTCGACTTAAAGGATTACGACAACATCTCATCACCTTTCAGAATCATAACATAAAACTAAAAGCAGAAAACAAGATAAAACACCAAGAAACAACACAAGCGAAAGAATCCCTCAAGTCATCACCTAATATAAGAAGCATTTTTTCATTAAAATGGAAATAAGAGTTCCCACTTTACATAATGCACGCACTAAAGACTAAAGAGGGTCTAATTTTGAGCCGGCCCCACATAAGAACGTGCCGGTCTTAAGCATGTTACTGGGTATGAAGCCAAAGAAATTAAGGCACAGGACAAATAAATAATGCCATGCACTCTACTGATTAGACCATGCATTATTGAAAATGATTTTAAAATTATTTTCACGAAAATAATGGTCAATTTTATTGTATTTATTTGTCTTAGTTGCCGAAAGTTCTCACTATTTTCCTCCCAATTTCCTTATTAAAATTTATGTCTGGTCTACGAGAATATATATACATGTATCTATCGATAAGGAAATGTGATAATAATTGAATGGTTGTGAAAGATTTAGTGTAAATTTAAAGAATTCGTCGTTCACATTAACGGTACAACTACTGTAAAACTGGATAAAAATTGTTGAAAAGGGAAGTTATGAAAGAATAAATTGTCCTTGTTCTCTCTAGGACAGAACCAGATTGAAAGGAAAGAAAAACAGAAAATAAGAAGAAAGACTATTATTGTTTAACTGAAACCCCTATGGAAATGCATAGAGCAAAGTTTAGAGCAAGAATAATTTTGAAAGTCCGTTAGTCAGGCCTTTTTGAGTTAATGTCATTTAGCTATTAATAACTTTTAATTCAAGTGCTTAGAGTAATGTGGCTTCTCTCAAATGTTACACATTTTCAATCTTGCACATATTCATAATATTAATTATAGCATTTTCTTATGAATGACCATATCCAAATATTATATACAATTAATGAATTCCATGCAATGTATTAAGACTTGAAGTAAAATCATAAAAGGTCAATATTTTATTAAGCTCCTCTTTGGTTTAATAACAAGTTGATAAAAATTTAAGTCAAAATAATAATTAGTTTTACCCTCATATTTCATCGAACCCACAAATTTTATCTTGTTTTCAACCACATATTTCTTAAATTTTTATTACAACATTGTTAAAAATTTAATTTTTAGAAAAATCAAGTAGGACTAGCACGAACCTTTTATATTTTGTCTGATCATTTAATTTTTAATTGATGTAAGATATTACTCTTATTAGTTTACACGATAAAAAAGAAAAAAAGAAAAAAAAAGGTGATTATACTCCTCTATTTTTCCTACAAATTATTCTATTAGGTGTAGAATTTTACTTCAATGGTAAATGTAGATATGTTGTTTGCTAATATACATTCTGCGCCGAGAGACAGTTGCATGAGACAATGAAAATCAGGCAGTGAGCAAAATAATCTTAACAACATAACGCGAATTCATTAAATTTAGAACATATTTGATAAAAAAAAAAAAAAAAATTATTAGATTAAAGTTGTGGGCCTTAATATAAAGATATACTTAATATTATTTATTGATTTAATTGCTAAGAATGTTCTTTTGCATGATTAAATATTAAAAATTTAAAACACATTCTCAGTATTAGGTGAACAAAATGCGACAGAGATAATAGAAATCTATCCAAATGCATGCATTTATTACAGCTGACTTCAAGTTTATTATTGATAAAACTAACTTTGTTACACTTGTCGATTAGTTGACAAATACGTAAATTTTTCATAAATTAAATCCCGAGTACGTATTTCTCTTCTTCGGGTAATTCCTTTGAATGCGAAATCAAATTACGCGTGGACTAATATTTGGCTCAATTGGCTGTGTACAGATCTTCGAGTGCTTAATTACCAAACTAATGAGGGATTTATTAATTTAATCATTATCATGTAAATTTTGAAAATTTATAACACTGTAAGTCTGCCACCTTTATAATAAATGGTCAATTTACTTAGTTCATTTTCACTCTTTTAAATTCAAACCACTTTCGGAGTAATTTATATTAGAAAAAACGTACAACATGTTACCACATCGACATGTGTCCTTTGTAGATATTTGAATCGGATGATGAAGCTAATCCCCATTTAGCAACACTATGTGTTGGCTAATAGAAAACAATTGATTTTTTATTATGATCCTATGAATAAATTGGGTACAATCTTGATTTAACGTCAGCAGATCTTTATTCTTTAGATAATTAGTAGTTTAATCTCGTATTTTTCTTTATTATTATTGATCATGCAAAGATTAAAGATCAACTTCCATTTCTAAGTTGAAGACCGATTTACTACTTGAACAATGAGTTCAAGATTATTGATCCATATATTCTTTTGTATGCATGAAACTCAAAGCCTTTTTTCAGAAGATTTTTTTACATGATCTCAATTTAGAAGTGTTTTAGTTTTTTTATAATAATTTTTGGAAATTTCAAAAAAAATCTCTATTATAATTCCTTCCAAATTTTTTATTTTAAAAAAAAATAATTGTCATTTTACATATTTGAGGGTAGTAATTTACAATTCTGCAACATGTATATCCATTTTGTACAACTATTTCGACTTGATTTGAGTTTCAATGTACATATATATGTCAAACTAGTTGTACAAAATCAATGTACAACCAGTTTAATTCATTAATTTATGCCAAAATTGACAGTAACAATGAAATGACTTGTAAGAAAGCAGCTGGTGACACGACTTGCATGATTTTTGTGGGATACGAAATGGGTAGAATTGTGAAAATATTTCAAAATATAAATATACTAATAATATTAAACATGATTAAAGTAAAACATGTTCTTAAGGTCTTGTTTTAAAGCATTTTTGCATTTATTATATCGATTTAGTCATCAAGTTCCTACGTTTTTTTTGCAAATCATTTCAAATGCTAAAACCTATACAAGGTGATGCATCATATACATATTTTATAATGTATAATGTATATAGATTTTAATCTAAGTCAAAATCAACAATTAATTTTAACCACATAATTTATGAGTTACACAACTTTCCAACCACACATTTCATTATTTTCGATTAAAATTTACAAAAGAATATGATTTTAATCACTATCAAACAATGGCTTATTCTACTTATAAAAATTCAACTTCGAAATCAAATTACACATGTTTATATAATTTAATTACTTCATTCCATGTGATTTTAAGTTACCAATACTTTGATTGAATGTGATTAAATCATTGCAATAGGTTCTTACATAATTTATTTTCAATAAGTACATTTAGCCAACTCACTTATGTGCTCGTTTCTTGTAAATATAGTCTTATTTAATCCAAAAGTCATGTTAATATTATGATCTCAATCACAATCATTTTATGTATCTGTTAATCATTCTTGATATTTTTCTGGCCACGAATATTTAAATCCAAACCCTTGTTTGGTCCCCCTTTTTAAAACTATTCTTTCACAAATTTATTTTTAACAACATATTTTATAAGATTCACAATTTTTATTAATTTTTTAATTATATATTTCATTAATTTTTAATAAAATATAATAAAATTTTAATCGAAACTAAACATGCGCTACATCAGAATCTCCCTATGTGAAGCTTTTGGGGAAAAAAATTAAAAAGCAAAAGAATAAGGAAATTTGATAAAATTGAAATCTTTAGCACCAAGTGGCCATCTTCTCCGGCGGTCAATTTATGGCATCAGTCACAAACTTTTTAGTTTAACACATGGTACAATACCCTCTGCAGTGGACTTTGAATAGTATAACATTAGACCAGTAAAATCTCTACACGTACTTATTAAAAATTCACTTTTTCAGTCCCCTATAAAATCACCTAGATTAACTTCTTGTACTTCAATTTCAATTCTCTCTCACATAACTGACACTTTTGGTTTTTCCGAGGAACGCCCACAAAGGCACAATACCCGGTGCCTCCTGTTCACCACCAACCAATAAGCAGACTCAAAAAGAGGAAAGGCCAACAAAGAAGGCTAAAGAAAAGACCTCTTTTTCTTGAGAATCTCAAGTACCACATCTGTCTTAACTTTGTCCATTCATTCATGTAAGTTTATTGGAATTTTTTCATGTTTTTTGAGCCCTTTTCTTGTTCAAATTTATCTGTTTCATTGCCTTGATTTCATCTACAATCTGCAATATTGTCATTTATTGCATTCTCCAATTATGCACTATCCCATTTTGCCATCCCCACCTCAATATTATGCATTTATTGGAGCTTATCAACTCTTTATACAAAACCCACAAAATTTTTTAATCAATTTTCATAGTTGACGAAAGGTTTCACCGACAGATATTGAGTTAAATAAAAACTTCGAAAGGTAACTTTTGAAGAATCTGGTTTATACCCAAAAGCGTATATGCTTTGCCATTTTTTCCATTATTAGTTCATCTTCTCCAAGCTGTCTTTTCACTGTAAAGTTTACACTATTCTTCAAGAAAAAGGAACTCCCTGGCGTCTCTCTTATAATATATATTTTTCCCGTTTACCCTTTATTAATATACTTGCATGAACTTATTCAATTTTTATTATACTACAAGTGGTATATATACACAAAATTTTCCTTTTTGGTTTATTTCTTAACGTGTTCGATCTTCCTTCCTGTCTCCGTTTCTCCTGCAAATGGTATTTTTTTATATTCCCAGTTGAACTCTCCATTTATCACTTCTTTATATTATACCTTTTTGAACAATTAATGGTTGACATGTATTAACTCTCCTTAAATGTCGATATCAAACATTTTTTTATATATCAATAGATGATTAAATGGAAACCGGCCGTCTTGTTTTTCTTGCTTAAACTTTCACCCATTATAGAAAAATTCACAAGTATTTCTCACTTCGATTTAATTCTTGCTAACGGAAGTCGACTGCTTTCTTTCAGCTCCATTCGTGTAGCAAATCAATGAGAACAGACGAAAAAATATCTAAGGTATTAAGGATCTAGATGTACAGAATTTTTAATAGAAATTTGTTTAGAATAAGATTTAATTTGTTATTCTGTATTAATAGTTTTATTTTTTGCAGGCTTCATGGCCAAAAGTGGTGGCCAGAAAATGGTTGAACATGAACAGTGGCGCAGAAGAATATCATTCAGACTATAGAACGAAAGGTAGATTTTCTTCACAATTTTTACTATTTCATATTTTTTATATATTTTATTTAGATCACCTGTTAATATTACATCAACTTTTGAAATCAGCTTTTTCATATATGAGCGAAAGAAGGAAAAGTTGCTCCGACGAGGCACGCTCCGTCGTCGTACCAGAAGAATTATCTGGTAAGCGTCGTTTGCCTCAGATTTATTTATTTTTGAATTATTATGATTCAAAATGCCTTTTTTTTTTCTTTTTTTTAAAATTCTAACTGCAATATATCAACAGTAACGGAAATATTTTTCTGGCACTTATTTGCCACGTGGATGTAGATGCTAGCTTATTGTTGTTGATTAGGCTGATTGATTTTGCTTTTAGCTTTATTGTTTACCTAATCACGTCTTAATCTGATTTATGTAACCAGTGGATTGGTTGATGGGGGCAAGTAACAAAATCAATCGGCCAGGATTCGACCTTCAGTCCGCACCATCACCTATCAACAATAGCGTCGACCACATCCTCAGGTGAGGCAAGAATAATTACATGTTTATTCTTTCTTTATTAATATTGTCCAGTACAATGAAATTCACTTACTCACGGGTGGGGTGGGGGTTTACTTTTAGTAGATCAACAATAAAAAAGGTTCTATACTAGTTGCCTAAATCATTGAGCTACAACTTTTTCCATGTTTAGCTTCAAATCATGTGGCCTTGATGTCATCGCTAGACTATTCTATAGGGGCTTAGCCTTTCTCAAATTTTTAGCTTGTATTTTAAATTACAAATTATGCTTTGGGGTCTATTTGTGCTTCAATTATGAAATTTTTTATATTAAACTTGATATTGTTGTAGCGAATAGTTTTTAATTAATAATCTTTTCAAGCATATCTTTTCTACTGTTAATCAACAACCTTTGTAAGTGAAAAATTCGGTTTATAATCATACGCGATAATTTTAATTGTAGGATGTTCTTGGGAACATGGAATGTAGGAGGCAAGCCTCCACATGATGGATTGAACATGGAAGATTGGTTAGGCACTACAACAAAAGCTGATATATACGTACTCGGGTATGTCGATTCCCCCTTTTCTTCTAAATTTAGAAGCTCGGTGAAATTGTATTTATGAAACTAACAAGTCTTATCTCTTCTTGTTTATGAAACAGATTCCAGGAGATAGTACCTTTGAATGCAGGGAACGTACTTGGCCCAGAGGATTGTGCTCCTGCAGCAAAGTGGCTTTCGTTGATCAGACAGGCTCTAAATGGTGAGCCGAACAATTCCAGTCACAGTAATACTGTTAGTTCTATGCTGAAACAGTCTCCGGGCTCAAACGATCAACAACAAATGACTCCGAATTCAAGAGTCAGCTTTTCAGATTTGATGTCATTAGAAGATGAGCTTGATCATGATGTTTTTGAAAGATTTTTGAGTTTGAGATCAAGTTCATATTCTAGTGAAGAAGGTTCGTCTAGTCCACCAAGTGAGCCAGCTACACCTGGTATGGTACAAAATCAATATCGACTCGTTGCCAGTAAACAAATGGTTGGGATCTTCCAGTGTGTATGGGTTCGTGAGGACTTGTGTCAGCAGATTAGCTCCCTGAAGGTTTCTTGTGTTGGAAGAGGCATTATGGGATACCTCGGAAATAAGGTATAACTATACGACGTTTTAGTTTGATGAAATATTTCGATATAATTGAGAACTAATATTTTTTACACGTGAATTGTTTTATTTATGGAATTTCAGGGATCGATATCTATCAGCATGACATTGTATCAAACAACGATTTGCTTTGTGTGCACTCACTTGACCTCGGGAGAGAAAAAGGGCGATGAAATTAGAAGAAATTTGGATGTTATGGAAATTTTGAAGAGAACAAGATTTTCTCATCCATGTCGAATACCAGGAAAACCCACTCCACCCGACAACATTTTGGATCATGAGTAAGTACTTTTAGAGCTTAGTCAATGTTTAAATAAAGAGTACAAGTATATGTTGATTAATTATGCTGATTAATTTTCCTTCAATATTAATCCAGCAAGGTATTTTGGATAGGAGACTTGAACTATCGACTTGCATCTGTTTGTGATGAAACATATGAGCTACTCAAGATTAAAGATTGGCAAGCACTTTTAGAGAAAGATCAGGTAAATGAATTTCCATACTGATATTACTCACAAGAAATGAAAGTTGGAATGTGAAAAGAAAATTTTATGATAAATTTTCTTTAAAAAGTTGTTATTATATGTTGCAGCTGAGGATAGAACAAAAGGCTGGTCGAATATTTGATGGTTGGAAAGAAGGGAAAATAGAATTTGCCCCGACTTATAAATACGTTGCCAATTCTGACAATTACGTTGCTCAAACATCTGCATCTAAAGCGAAGCGTAGGACTCCTGCCTGGTAAGATTTTCTAAAAATTTTAATAAATTTCTTTTAAAACTGCTTTTTGGACTCATGATTAAACATATTAGTATCCTACCATTGAAATTTTCCAAGTCAACTATGTAGAAATGGGGACTACTTGTGGACAGAAATTTCAATGAATAATGTTTTTGATTTCATAATTTTATGACAAATTTGGTCAAATAAACTGGTGGTGGGAATATCTTGAGAAAGAAACTTTGAATTTGAAAAATTGACAAAATTCCAAGAACGGGTTAGGAGACATTTGAACAGGGGCACATGATGTTCAAGTATATTTTATTCTACTCTGACTAATATTCCATTCATTAGCACCGTCCAATTACCCAATATGATTCTCTTGTTAAAAAAGTCATAATTTCCTGCTTAAATTTGTTAAACGATATATCTAAGGACTCGTTTTGGCAAAATTTTAAAAAAGTCAAAAGTTGTTTTGTAATATTTGTTTCTTGTTTTTCTTGAATAAATGGCAGGTGTGACAGGATTTTGTGGAAAGGTGAAGGGTTAAAGCAAATGTGCTACGTTAGGGGTGAATCAAAATTCTCAGACCACAGGCCAGTTTATTCACTTTTTACAGTACAAGCAGATAATGTAACCAAGAAGGAGAAACCCACATCGATAATTGGTTCAAACACCCCTGAACCATCAACAGCAGATAAATTATTTTCAGAAACTGCTGTTTTATCCGCAACAGAAAAATTCATGTTCATAACCAGGGCACAGAGTTGCAGGCAGAAAACCTCAAGGTTCTCTCTCACAGCCCGACAAGTAACCAGCCAATAGAAGACTCCAAGATGGAAGATACAGACAAATGAAATACTGACACGCGGGTACTGTGATTGACAGAAATCACCCACCTTTGAACTCTCCCCCGTGTCTCAAGCAACCTGCAAATGGGAACAGCAGAGAGGATAAAAGAACGCGCGGGTCACGATGGAATGGTGGGGGCTTGCTGGGTGATGGACACGTGGTTGTACGGTAGAAGAAGGTGGTTCCCCAATTGTGCATAGTGAAATTTTGGGTTATGCGCTTTTGAGGAATTTGCTTCGGCTTTTGCAGAAGCGTTGGTTAGTTTTTACATTTCCTGGTTAAAGCTGAAGTGTTAATAAGAGAAATGGTGGAATTTTTTTTCATAATAGGAAGTAGGAACTGTTGGAGTAAAGAGTTGATTTTTGTTTCTATTTTTGTCAATTGAATGAAAGGTTTTTTTACGTGTCTAAACTAGGGCTGGACAAAACTCCCGAACCGAACCCGAATCGAACAGAACCGAACCCGACGGTTCTTCTCAAGTTAAATACCCGAACGAGTATTTGAATCAGAAACCGACGGGTATGGTTCGGTTCTCGGTTCCAGGCCAAGACCCGAAGAACCGAATAAGAACCGAATCTCCGTAATTTTTTAAATTAATTTCTTTTAAATAAGTAAAATTATTTTATTTTTTCTAAATAAATTTGTTAACTAGTTAATTTAGTTCAAACTCCAAAATATGATTTTCCAATTTCTAATATTCAGTTCAAAATCGACTTAATCAAATTGACCTCAATTTTATCCAAATTTGTTATTCTACTGTAGTGTCGTTGCTACCGGAGAAAATCGAATTAAAATTCTATAACATCTCTCTTAATTATTTTGAGCTCGCTATCTGTCTCTTTCTTGATTTTAATAATCAAATTTATGAAGAACTCAATAAAGTTAGACGTGAAACACATAAGATTGAACTACGTTATTTTGTAAGAGCTAACATTAAATATATCATTAATTAAATTAACGTAACTTTGTATATATTAAAAAATTTAATTATAATATGGAACCAAATGGAACCGAACCGGACCGAACCGAACCGAATGGAACCGAACCCGAACGGTTCTGTAATTAAATTTGGACCGGACGGTTCCACTTACTAAATACCCGAAAATTTCGGGTCGATTCGGTTCTCGTTAGAACCGAACCGAACCGGACCATGTCCAGCCCTAGTCTAAACATAATTTGAGGTAGTGTTAATGTTGGGCTCTGATGTCAATTCAGTGGACTTGGCCCATTTTCATTATTTGATCCATTGCTTGATAATTCAAAAATGGAAGCTCAAATCCTGGATTCAATATATGGTATATCGCATTACCACTTAACGCTCAAGTTGTCAATTGTCTGGAACGTCGATCACCATCTACGATCAATGGTGTCGATGTGTGAAAAGTCGAGGAGTATCCAAAATTATCATGAATTCACAAACCACAATATTAATAGTAATAAAAGTGCAGTAAAATAAAATCAACGCAGAAAATTTTTCGACCAAAGCCTCAGAGGTTCGATGACCACTTCTAACACCTAATCCTCTATTGAGCATCCATAAAGATGGATAAAACTCGATTGCACTATAAAGCCCCAAAAATAGACATCAAGTATACAATAATGTTCCAAAATATTACAAAGTAATAAGTCATAAAGACTTATCTTATGAAGAACACCAAAAAAACCGGCCCTATTCCACACTAGAATTGGCCAAGATCACAAAGATCTCACAAGCAACCAAACTGCCCTCTCTCACATGACAATTACAGGTGCTTCTTTCACAGCAAGTAACATTCCACCAAGGAACACAGTAAACCAGCCACTATCACACACATGAAGAGGCTGAGATCACTAAGATCTCACAAAAAACAAAGGCAAAACTCGAATCCCACATATTTGAATCATCCAAAACTGAAATAGTACAATGCCTATATGGATCTATAATATTTCTTGATGTTAACAGATTTTTCTTCCAGAAATTACTCCAAGAAACAAGCCTTAATCTCACTAAGAAGAAAATGGGTTTTTCGCACAGAAGAGAGAGAGAGGTGCAGGGGCCGAATATGAGAACTAGTGGAGAGAGAGAGAGAGTCTTCCAAAAAAGGGATAGCCCATGAGTCAAAGACCATCCATTTTAATCATAGCCACACAATTTAATCCAACGGCTCAAATCCCATTTCAAGTAGCACAATCCGGGTGATAATGGAGCAGCCAATAATCAACAACCACGTGGAACATCACTTAAAGAAGTCGCTGTTGCAAGAAACACGTTTTCTCCAAATTAATTTTGGAATACTTTCTCAAGAATCTCCACCTTGCTTCCCAAATTTAAGCCTATAGTACAGCCAGTAGCTTTACCAACATTTATAATTTCATTTGTTCTATTATACCTATACAATCAATGAAAAGAGTCAATAGATAACATCTTTAAACAGTTTTGAAACTTATTTAAAGGTATCACCTTAGTTCTCATATCAAATGGATTATATAAAGTGGGTATTTTATTAATTTTCAGCAACCCCTTTAAAATAATATCACTTATAAAATGGTATTTTACATCAACATGTTTTGTTCTATCATGGAACACGGGATTCTTACTCAAATGGATTGTACTTTGATTGTCAGAATATAGTATTGGATTAGAGTCCACAAAATCAAGTTCATTCAACAAACCGTGTAGCTATATACCTTCTTTAATGGCATCAGTGGCTGCAATATATTCAGTATCGGTGGAAGATAGAGCAACAATTTTTTGTAACTGAGATTTTCCACTTATCACAGTACCACACAAAATGTAAAAATAAGATGAAGTTGATTTTCTATTGTCTCTATTTCTAGCAAAATTAGAATCTGTGAAACCCTTTAAAATTATCTTCTCTTTGTCTATTTTAAACATCAAACCCAAGTTAAATGAACCCTTTAAGTATCTCAATAACCACTTTAAGGCTTTCCAATGAGTTTCACCAAAATTCCCATAAATATACTCAAAACACTAATACTAAAAGCCAAATTAGGTCTAGTACAAATCATTAAGTACATGAGTGAACCAATAGTATTAGTATAAGGTATTTTAGACATTCTTTCAAGTTCATCTTCAGTTTTTGGATACGAATCAGATGTTAAAATAAAGTGATTTGCAATGGGTAAAGTCACAGGTTTACAATCAAACATATTAAATTTCTTAAGGATCTTATTGACATACTCTTGTTGCCTTAAAAACAAGGAATTAGATTTTTCATCTCTTATAATATGCATGATAGGTATTTTCTTGGTGGAACCAAGGTCATTCATATCAAATTCTGATTTTAATTTGTATTTGATATTATCAATTTCAGATTTATTGGCACTAGCAAGAAGCATATCATCAACATAAAACACAATATACAAAGAATTTTTACCTCCATTTTTTTTACAATAAAGACATGTATTATAATTGCTTCTACTAAATCCAAGCTTCAAGACAAATGAATCGAATATTTTATACCATTGTCTTGGAGCTTGTTTTAGGCTGTACAAAGATTTTTTCGACAAACACACTATTTTTTCAGGATTTCCTTTAATAAATCCTAAAGGCTGTTTCATGTAGATCACTTCATCCAATTCACCATATAAAAATACAGTTTTTGCATTTAGTTGATTAAGTTTCCACTTAAATTGCACAATCAAAGCAATAATACATCTTATAGTTGTATATTTAACAATGGGGGAAAAAATCTCATCATAATCCACACCCTCTTTTTGTGTGAAACGGTAATACCCCGAACTTCATGTTCTACATTTGGCCAATATGATTCATGCATTCCATGCTAATTACATTGTCATTTGCATCAATTTCCTAATTGTTCTCTCTTAAAAACGTGTGTTTGATCATCGAGGCTTTAAAATCTTTATATAGTGATGATTTTTGACTCCTTGACCTAAGTAGTGAATTTCACATTGAGCTATGATAGAAAATTAGGTTAACTAAATGTTGAAGATTAGCTTGGTAAGTAATGGAAATCGAAAAGGTCGAAAATTAGTATCGACAAAGGTTCAAACTTTCCATTCGGTGGATCGAGGTCATCTTAAACTCTAGATAGGTAATTGACACATTTGGAATGTGAAGCATGAAGTGGCATGATCAAAACTCAATAATATATGTCTCATATGACATTATAAATATTGAGGTGCGAACTGTTGAAATCGCTTGAGAATCGGGTGTCAATCGGGTAAGAAATTAAATGAACAGTTGAGAAATTAACTCTATAAAATACTTTGGGATCTTAGGACAAGTGAAAGGGATTGTAAGCATGTTAAAATAAGCCAAGGATACTTGATTTGTACCTGCAACGATAGATATAAAATCAGATTTTTGCTACAAGTGACCACCTCTTGCGTGTACACCTCGTGCTTGGGATGTTTGTCATTTTAACGCTCAATTTCTTCAACCTTAAGTTATCAATCTCGTGTATACTCTCTAACCACTTAATATAGGATATATATATATATATATATATCTTAAAAGACACAAATGAATCCAAATATAATGGTTGAAAGTCAAGTATTGCTGCCACGAAGACACCTCATGCTTGGGGTATTTTGACATTTTAACACTCAATTTCTTTAACCTTGTTGACATCCGAACTCCAATCTGGTAAAAACAGTTTACTAACCCCACCTTAGTTAAATATAAGTTCAGCCCACACTCCCAGGTTGGAGTTACCCGCCGTTATCTTATAAAAATATCATGATTACCCCTTGTCACATCACCCTATCAATCAGAGACACTTGCCACAGGTGATGTCATCGCCGCCCGGAACAACCAATTCCAAGTCCTCGAACTCCAACCCCTTACAGGTCATCATTACCTGGGTAATACATTGACACATGACCATCGACCTCATTGACCAATCACAGGAGAATTCGGCGACCCGAGTTCCGAGCTCGGTACTGTTGCTGATTTGATATAATTTCGACTGAAACTATGTATAAATAGTTGAATAGGACCCTTGTAAAGGCAAGAAAAAAAATTCATATAACGACTTATCGCACAATCACACAAAAATGACATCTTTGTGATCTTTTCTAAGCATAAATCTCCTTTTTTCTTAAAATTGGTTCAAAATTATCCTTGCTAATTTTGACATCAACAGTTTGACGCTAGAAGGAGGGCCCTAATTGTGAAAAATAGTTTCATTTGCTCCATAAAAAAAAAAAAATTCAAGAGTTATGTGTCATAGCTTAAGTTCCAAAAATCCATCTCACACATGCCCTTATGAAACGAATATACCACTGAGTTCTCCACAACAGCAGGACCCTCAAATGATCGTAATGAGGAAAGCCCTAGAAAAATTGGCAAATGCAGTGGGACGACTGGAAAGGAGCCAAGCCCATTCGTCCCCACCAGATACCGAGGTGGATTCCCCTATAAGGACAAAGGCAAAGCGTCCCTC